TCACCACCCCCAGAAAGCAGCATTTTTTTTTTTTTGGGGGGGAAATATAAAAAAAGGCAAAAACGGAAAAAAAAACCCCTTCCACCTTTCTCTTTTTTTTATATATAGATAAAAAAAACCGCTTTTTATTTGGCTTTTAAAGAGCCCTTAAAATCCAATTATATCCCCTATTTGGATAATTAAGGAAAGGTTTTTGACAAGAAATCTCGCTTTTATCTCCCTTTTTTTTTTTTTCTCTTTCTTTAAAAAAAGGTATAAATTTTTGATTAAATTTACTTATTTTTATTTTCATCAGTATTATATTTTTCAATATATATACACAGTTTGGTAGTATGTTTTATATTTATTAACTATTAAAAAAATTTTAGATTTACTAATTAAAATATTTTTTTTATCTATTAATCTTTATTAGTAAAATGCATAACAATAATAATTCAAGTGACATTACTACAGTAAAAAGAAAAAGAGGAAGACCAAGAAAAGAGAAGCCTGACGCTTGCTTCAGATGTAGATGTAGAACTACACCAGAGTGGAGAAAAGGCTGGGTAGATAGGGAAGGTGTTTCACTACATGTACCTCTTTGTAATGCTTGTGGTCTCCATAATGCTAAGCAAAGAAAAAGTTACCAGCTTTCAAAAGAACTAAATAGCATTTACAGACTATTAAATTAGTACGAAGATTGCTATTGATAAATAATTAAAAAAAAAATATTATTATTTTTCATTTATTTAAATAAATTTAAAAAAAAATTTACATAAAAATAACTACAATTTATATATAAATTTTTTTAGTATATAATATATAATATTTGTTCAAATACACTTCTTACTTTGTTTAATATTTGAAGATAAAAATGAGCATGTGGTTGGAGTGTAACAGCAAAAGACCAAAATAAACTTTGGATAAAAGAATTGATAGATTTGTTGATGGTGCTGATAAAAACTAAGGTGTATTTTTTGGTTATTGTCATTGAAGTATTGTTGCTACAAATAAAAACTGTTTTTTTTATAATTAATAATATTTCCGAAACACCAAAGCATAATGGCAGCGTAAAAGAGCGAAATAAATTTAAATCAATAAATCAAGTAAATATTATTTTTTAATTTTTATATATAAAAAATAGGTCAATTTATATATTTATACACACAATCTTCTTTTTTTATTTCATTTTGATTGGAATTGCTATTAGTGGATGAGGATGATGGTACAGGTATTGATTGTTTTGGTGAAACAAATATATCTATGATTGAAACTTTTTGTAGTTTTATTATTGTTAACACAGTTGTAAATGTCATTATCAGCTACATAAATGGTTTTGCTGGCTACATAGCCAACGTAAATTTCATAATTTGGTTTATCTGCACTGTATGTATTTTGGAAGATTTTCATTTCCATTATTCTTTTCCTTTTCTTTTCAATGATAGTGATTTTGATAAATAATTATCAATATTATTTTTAAAATCATCATCGAGTTGGGACTCTCAAGATAATATTTATTTGATTTATATTTTAATTTTAAAATAGTTTATTTTTCATTTTTAAATTATTATATTAAAGTAATAATATCAAATAAATTTTATATTTTATCTGATTGTTATAAATATTGAATATGATAAAATAAATCTTAATTTTATTTTTTCTTAATTTCCCATTAAAAAAAAAAACGAAAAAAAAAACTTCACAAATTTTTATAATTTTTCTTTTTAAAAAAAATAAAAAAATCACTCCATTTTTCACAAAAAATAATGCCACACAATAATTTTTATAACACAGGAACACAAATAATTATATTTTAATAAAACAGATAATAATAATTACAATATCCTTGCAAATTTCAGTAAAGAATTTAAATTAACATTAGATAATGTAACTAAAATAAAAGATGTATTAACCTTTATCAAAAAAAAAAATGAAAATTCCTTTAAAAAAACCTATCCAAACACCCTCAAAAAAAAAAAAAAAAACTTTTTTTAATTTTTTTTCAATTTTTTTTTTTTTTTATTTTTTTAATTTTTTTTTATTTTTAAAATTAAAAAAACTTTTTTTATTTTTTATTAAATTTCCTTTATATATATTAATTTCCTTTATATATGTATTTAAAATTGTATTTTTTAATAATAATCATAATTTCATTAATCAAATACATAGTTTGTTACGTCTGCTTACATTTCTCCTCTGTTTAAAATTTTGAATATTAAACAATCAAGATTTCTTCCTTAATTCCAAATAACATTTGTGATAACCATATGAATACTATTGAAAATAGTAACAATAACAGTGGTAGTATTAAAGGTAATAGTAATAGTAATAGTAATGGTAACATTCCACCCAGATATAATAAACTTTCAACACCAGAATCAAAACAACTTTTTGGTCAAATATTCAATTTAGAATTTAAAAAGATAGATAAGTCTGGTTATGATAAATTAAAACATGTATCGTGTAATAATAAAGATATTACAAGCCCACAATCAATTTATTCAAAAAGATTTTATTTAGATTTAATTTCAGTGAGAAACTATTTACATGTAGACCATGGTGTTAGAAAAACCAAGAATCATTTTTATTTAATTGTAAATATTAAATACTATTTTAATATTATAATAAAACTATATAGATACTAATTATGAAATTTAAATTACTATTATCATTTAGAAAAAGAATGTAAATCAACAACAATTAGATAAATTAAATAGTGAATTGATAGAGTTACTAGCTTCAAAAAAGAGAAAAATCAACACAGCTAAAGAGAATAAAAAAGTGAAACAATTAAAGATTGATAACCAACAATTAAATAATAACTATCAACAATTAAATAATGATTATCAACAATTAAATAATGATTATCAACAATTAAATAAAAAGATGGAACAATTAAAACAAAAAAAATCTCATGATCAAAATACAATTATTCAATTTAAGAATAAAGAAGAAGAATTAAAAAATCAATATGAACAATTACAGATTCACTCAAATAATCAATACCAACAATTACAGATTCAATCAAATTATCAATATCAACAACTGAAACAAGAAATGGACCAAGTGACTCGTCAACTCGATCAATGTAGGGAAACAATTGGTAGTTTAGAAACTTGTGTTGATGAAACGAATAAGTTATTGGATCAAGTAACAAAAAAAAGAGATCAAGTAGCAAAAGAAAGAGATGAAGCAATTAAAAGGGTTCAAATATTAGAATGTGGTATCAAAAAGTATGAAGATGCTCGTCACAATTCAATCAATCAACATATTGTAAAGCTTAAAGAGTCTTTTGTTAGTAAGGTTGTTAATGGTAAAAAAGACACATACGATATTCACAAATTTCCAAAGCCAGTTGAGGTTTTATCAAAATTAGATGCCCACTTTTATTTTAAAGATGTTCAAGCGGATCAATTTTATAAATTTATTCATCATTATTATGATATTAAAGATTCTGATATTCAAGTTGGAGAAAAAAAGAAACATGTGTGTCAAGGTATAACAACAGACTCAACTGTTAGATTTATTCTTTTAAACTATGGTATTGTTCATCAGTTTGGTGGTACTTCATATTGCTATTGTTCTGGATCAAGAAGCTTTATATCACCAAGTTGTAAATTAGAAGAATTAAAACAAAGACACTCTTATTGTCAATCCTGTGCCATTTTCAGCAAATATGTTTTAAATAAAGAATATTATTTTGGTCGTTTGAAATTTGAAGAAGGTGAAATAGAAGAAGGTGGATATCAAGTTTCAGATGAACTAAACAACACATCAAATGAGCTGGTTGATCAATTAATGGAACTATTAAAGAGAGATCCAGATTTTAAAGATTCATTCATATATACATTCATTAGTGATATTATTAAAACTTTATTCAAAGGTACTGGTACTTGGTCAGAAGCCACTCTCCATTTTGCAAGATCATTAAAATTCCTTTTTGGTAAAAAGGTAATTGAATTTTTAAATGGTAATAAATCAAAAAGAAACAAATATGGTGGTATTCCCTTCCCCTCACTCTCAACCGTTCATAATTTCTTTCACAACAAATCAGATTACTACTCAAATGAAATGAATGCAAGATTTAAAGCTCTTAGAGATTCATTAGATAAAATGGAAGAATACAAAGGTAGACCTTATTTTGCTGGTGTTGTTTTTGATGAGATTGATACTCTTAAAGGTCTTTTTTTGATCACAATAATGAACAATTGGTCGGTTTATTCAAAGGTCCAATCGATAGATCCAATCTCGATAATATTTCAATGGAAAAAATCGATGATAATTTAACCAGAAAGATCACTCAATTCTTCCTTGTCGGTTTAGATGGTAATATATCCTTTAGCTTAGCAAGATTTCCAAATAATGGCAAAAATACTTTATTGGTTTCAGGATTAGCAATTGTTGACATTATTAAGACTGCCTCTAAATATAATATCAAGATAGTTTTTGGTGCAATGGATGGTTTTGATACAACTGATTTTATCCACAACTTTATTCATAAACAAGCCAATGTACTAGATCTGGCTGATCCAAATGGTGACTTTCACATTATTTATGATAGCGTTCATATGGTCAAATCTTTACGAAATTTAATTATTCAAAAAACTCCATTGAAGAAGTCAAACACACCCCATGATATCATTAATTTCAGATTGATATTTGAACACTATAAAAAGAAAGAAGAGTTGGACGCTACTTCAAACGAGTGAAGAGTAAATAATCAACTTTTAACTAGTAAAATCTCTGCCAATGAACTCCATCCAAGTGATAGAATGTCTTTGAGACCAGTTAAAACTCTTTTTAGTGAATATGTTGAGGCATATTTTAGAGGAGAAACTCAAAAATCGAAAAATGATATCCAATCTCAACAATTTAATAGTATTGCCGACTATCTAAAGAATTTAAGAAAGTTTTATAATATTACCAATGGTTCAGAATTAGCAAACGTCGAAAATTCCTTAATTGAATTAGAGGAAGTATTCAATTATTTCACTGCATTTGAAGGTCTTCCAAAACCAACTAAAACTCACCTCAATAGAACAATTGGTTCATTAAAAAAATTATTTGAATTAGCCAAAAGAAATGATATTAAAATTAATAAGCTTTCACATCTGGGTACAAATGTAGTTGAAAGAGGGCAAGAACATTGAAGCTGATTTAGCTAAATTTTTAAATGATACAATTAAAGAGATTAAAAGCAAACATAATTTTAATAGTTTACTCGATTTAAAGTTAAAAGCTGGTGATACAGATAAAGGTACAAGTGCATTGGAATCGGTCATTAATGGTTTTAGTGCAATTAGTCTCAAGAAAATATTTGGTGAGGATATCAAAAAGAATTTAGAGAACAATGTTGAAGGTAAAATGAAGAAAGCGGAATATGTTAAAGTTATCTCAGATTATTTAAAAGATAATAGATCCCAAGTTACAACTGTGGTTAACAAACTAAAAGAAGATAATCGAATAGTAAAGAAAAATAGAAATGAAAAGAAATTGGAAAATAAGACCAAGGAATAAGCTTTGTATAAAAATCAATATTAATTTTCTTTTAATATAAATAATGTATAATAATAATGTATAATAATAATGTATAATAATGTATAATAATCGATCGATTATTAATATACATTATTACCTATAACACACACCAATTTTGTTAAAACTAATTTTATAAATATACACATAACTACCAAAAAATTTATTCAATAAAATCTATCTCTTACACTAATAATATAAATTATTTCATTAAGTAAGATTTTTTTAAAAAAAAAAAAACTATATCTTTGTGTAACTTCAAAATATTTTCATTTCCCATATTAATTTTATATGGTAAAAGACTTGGAAAAATTTCAATCTCTCATATAAAATCAATATGGTAAAAGACTTGAATTTTTTTTATATTTTTTTTAAAATTTTTATTTCTTAATTTTTTTTAAAAAAACGCCTCCAAACACTGGATTCACTTTAAATTTTAAAATTTTAAATTTTTTTATATGAATTTTTTCAATTTTTTCTCTATTTTAGTTTTTTTTTTTTTTTCCTATAGCTTCACTAGTTCTAAAAAAAATGAAAATAGGTGCACTGTTCAGAGTGTCGGTTGGGAAAACAATATATGATTCGATTCAGAATTAATTGGTAATAAATAATATCTTTATATTGTTCAACAAAAATTAAGTTTGATAATGAAAAAATCAAGGGGGTGTCTGGAGTTAAAAAAATTAAAAAAAAATAAAATTAAAAAAAAATAAAATTTTGTTGATGCATGAAAATTATCTTTAAATTAAAAAATTGTTGCATTGAGCATTTTATTGGTGGTAGTTGTATTGAGTATTTATTGGTGGATGAATTTATAAAAAAAAAAAAACGAGATGGTGTTTTGCATTGTATTTAAATAGGTTCTTTATTGAAACGTGCAATTGATGATTCTGAAGGACAAGGGATACCATCATAACTATAACGATGGTGTTTTGCACCAGCTAAAAGGCCAAATATCTTTGATCCGCAATGATGTTTGAGTGTTGCAAGAAAACTAAGCGATGATTCGGACCAAACACCTTTTCCAGTGTGTAATGTTTTTATTTGGTCGGTCAAGAAGGTATAAAAGAAAGTATTTTTGAAATGAGGATCTTTTTCAAAAAGACTTGTAAGATTGGATACCAACGGATCCGTTGCTTCGGTTGGCTTTACCTTTAATCTACGATCAGTGTGGATTGATTTTTTAAAGTTACTGTATTGTTTGTTAGTTTTAATACTTAACTCACGACATATTTGGCAAAATGTGTGACCTTTTGAAACATTACCATAACCTTGGCAAACTGAATAGAAATTACCAGAAGAACTATAAACTGCAGTGTGATGATCATCAAATTTATAGCTAAGACCATGATATAATAATAAAAAACGAACTTTTTCTTCTTCAAAAATACCTGGGCACATTCCTATTTCTTTTGGTTTGCCAGAGGTGGGTGGACATTTATAGAAAGTGAAGATAAACTCTTTAAAATTTTCTTTGGTAGAATCTGATTAACGATAACATCTCTGCTGAGGTAAATAAATCACAAACTTTAAATGAGTGGTTATATGTAATGGCTGATTTTAACTTGTTTATTGTATCATCCAAAGAACTATTAAAATCAACTCTTTCTTGGTCTAAAGTTTTCGCAAGATGTTTTTTTTTTTTTTGTAGTATTAATATTTCATTTTTATTTTGTTGGTCTAATTTTTGATATTTTAGTATTGTTTGGTATTGTTCCGATTTCTTTTGTTGTAGTTGTTGTAGTTGTTGGTTTTTTTCTTTTAATGTCTGTTGATGTTGTTCCGATTGCTTTTGATGTAGTTGTTGTAGTTGTTGTAATTGTTGTAATATTTGGTCTTTTTCTTTTAGTAATTGTTGATGTTGTTGGTCCTTTTCTTTTAGTTTTTGTTCTAATTGGTGGTCTTTTTCTATTAATGTTTGTTGATTTTGCTGTAATTGTAATTCTTGTTGTTTTTGTAATTGTTGTTTTCGTAATTCGAATATTTCTATCGAATCTTGTTGTGATTCAAAAGGCCAAATATCACCTAAAGTAAACATCACAACAATTAATACAAATTATTATCACAATTTATATATTATACCTTTTTATCATACTTTTAATTTTTTTACAAACTGAATCTTTGATCTTGCTATAGATTTGATCATGTTTATATTTTTTATCCTAGCTAGTAGGCGAGCCTCCGATCTAGTCAAATGAAAAGGGTACCCACGCGAAGATGGTCTTTTCACTTGTTATCAATTTTTCATCAAAGTTGTATTCATCTGTGGCATTTAATGCTTCAATGAATAATTTTAATTGATCTAAAATCTTTTGGATATTATCTGCCTTCTCATTATTTTGAGCTTGAATTGCAATTTCGTGGTATTGTTCATAGGTTCTTTTTAATGAGTTGAGAATTAAACCTATATCTCCTATAACTGAAATATTTTTAATTTGTTTTTAAGTTCACTAAATTCGCAAAGTTGTGAGGAATATTGAGTTTTAAGTTTTTTGGATGTATTGTTTTAGATTGTTAATTAGTACTGTGTAATATTAATAAAGTAGTATTGTATAATATTTATAGTATTTACCATGTTCTTCATATTCCTTTGATTTATTCAATGCTTCTGTGGCACCTAATTTGATAGCATTATATGCGTTTTATACCTGATCATTTTCAAACCATTCCAATTGATATTTGACGTGTATATGTTGTTTATATGAGCATTTTAGTTTACATATTTTACATATAGGTAACTTCGATATATGCAAATTTACCTCTATCCTTCAACCACTCTTCAATTGATATTGATTTCGACTTTTCAATTAATGAAGAAATCTTATCATCAGTTAATTCTATGTAAAGATTAGTTACTGAACTAAGGTTTTCAACTAGCTCCTTTAACTTTGAAAGAAGTTCAACTTTATGTTCTTGTAACATTTTCATTCCTTCTGGTTTGAATGACTTTTGAGAACTAAAGATATGAATAAAAAATTGGGTAATGATTTCTATTTTTTCACTCTTTTTTTTTTCAAGTTCATCGCTATTATCAACACCAAAAAGAACTCGACAGTTTTTAATTGCTTCGTCTGGTCTATTTATTTTATAAATATTTTTTAAATGTTGAGCCCTAAAATAAAAATAGTAATGAATAAATATTAATAATAATATTTAAAAAAAAAAAGAATCGATCAATAAAAATAAAAATAAATACCATGGATTGTCCATAAAAAGTAATGGTTTTTGATTTATGCCGGGTAACATTTTATTTAGTATATTTCTAACACTATCTGCTTGATTATAATTATCACAGAATGAAACCATGGTTGATACACAATTAAGTGCTTCGTTAGGTAAAATTGAAAATACAGTGCATAAAACTTTCAAGAGTTTTTCTAGTTAATGCACCATTTACGACATAGCTGACACTATCAAGACTTTCGAGTTTACCGACATTATTTAAAATTGATTTGATATGTTGATCATCTTTTTCAAGACCTCCAACATCTGCAAAACCAGGTGTGTCGACAATTGTGATACCAAACATCCACTGATTTCTGTAATAGTATCTGATTTCGTAACGACAAACTGAGTTTGTTTTACTTTCACCAATACCTTGATTTTCAATATCTTGTGCACGTAGTGTTGTTGGTGAATGAGCTTGACCTGTTAAAACATTAAGAATGAACTCAATAAATGTTGTTTTACCTGTGCCTTTAGTTTAAAATAATAAATTGTTAGTGAATGATAAAAGATTATAATTTAGTCATTATATTTACCAGTCATTCCCATAAATGATATTATAAATGAATATTGATATTTCTTATTGACAATACTAAGTTTATGTAATCTTTTGTATAAATTTTGAAAAGTTTTATCTTGAACTAGTTCAACTATGACATCAATTTTAATTTCATTTTCATCATCTGATGAACAGTTTGTAACTTTGACACTGTTCAATCTATCCATATGTTATTCTTTCCATTCTGAACAATCATCCGAATTGGTAATATTAACAACTTTCTAAAATAGTGAAAATAACATTAGAATATTATGGTGTATTATTATTAATTTAAAATTTAAGACATACGTCATCATTATAGGTAACTACAGATGGAAAGCTAACATTATCTTCTTCCCATTCACCTTCTATTGATTTTAATTGTTCGATGTTACCAAGGGCATATCTTAAAATACCTTGACCATGACGTTTACCATTTAAACATAGGCCTTCATATTCTCCACCATTCAAATAGTTATATATTCCTTCATAAATTGGGACACCTTTAATACTTGGACCAAACCATATGCCCTCAGAAGTTTCTACTTTTTTGCCAATTATACACTGTGCCTGATCTCTTTGTTCACACACTTTGGTTTTGCTGCATGGTATATAAAAATTTTAATTAATACGTTAGCCTTTGAAGGGATTTTATAAATAAAAGTTTATATTGATACATACTCTAAAATAGTTTCTATGGAATCCTGAGCAAATATTAATAGGTCATTTTGTAGCTTTTTAATTGACCAAGTAAGATTTGAAGTTTCTTTTTTGAGTTCATCCATATATATATTTTATTTTTGGAGTTTTCTGAATTTATATTAATCCAAGACTCTAGTTGAACAATAATTTGTTGCATTTCCCAATAATATGGCTATTTGTGATTCTTTATTTTTATACTCTTTATGTTTCTCAAATTCTATAAACTCTGCAAATTAATTTGATTTTTGATAATTTAATGGCAACAGGAGTTGATGTTTCTGAACATTCATTAAATGATCTAATAAATGATTCTAAATCATCTAGATTTTGATAGTTTGGTATATTTTCATTTATAATACCACCCATATCCATATTTGTTGTTATTCTAATTTGTGATTGGTCTGTATTTTTGATTAGAGATAATACATTTCCAATGTTTAACGATTTTAGTTCTTCAAGATTATTTTCTAATTTTTTCATTAGTTCCTTATTACTTTTTTTTATTGAAAAAAATTAAAATATTAGTATTTAAAATTAAATTTATGTTTTTTTTTTCTACTTACGATGATTGTAGATTGATTACTAAATTTAAAATTGCTCCATATTTAATTTTTTTAACAAAATATAAACCAAATTGATTTTTAAGTGAATCAATATCAACTATTTCAAAGAAATCTATGATGGGTTTGGCTTCTTCATGTAAAAATAAAGTATTGAAACAATTACTTTTCTATAAAGAATATTTAATGTTTCACCACTATTTACATTTCCTCTAAACAATAGTTCATTTGTGACATTTGAACCATACCCAAATGCTAAACAAACATCTGGTAATAATAATATAGATTGTTTAGTATATAAATGCATCTTTTTTTTATTTAAAATAATATAAATTAAAATATACTACTTACCACACATTATTTTCTTTGGTAATTGATTCTCTTTATTAAGACTACATTCTCTATGTGTTTAAGCTTTTTGCTTGGTATTATATCGCTAATAAAAAATTAATAAATTATAAAAATTATAAATTTTAAAAAAACAAGGGGGTGTTTCGAGAAAAAAAAATTTAGAAATGAAAAAAAAAAGTGATACATAAATTTTTTTTAAAAAAACGCACCTTGTAAAAAAAATTAAAAAATTTTAAAAAAATAAAAAAAATAATTAAAAAAAAAATAATTGAAATAAATTACAAAAAAATATTTTTATAGTTACTTTTACATAATTAAACACATTATTTTTAGACAATTGATATCATCAATGCTGAAACCTTTTCCTATAGAGTTTTTATCTAGGACATAACTAAAAGGACTTAGAAATATTTTCATTTTATTTTTTAGATTATAATTATAAAAATAAAATTATATTGAAATAAAGGAAAAAAATTGATTGAATTAATATTTATTTTATGTATATAAATTAATTGATACTTTATTTTAAAAAACTTAAAAAAAATTTCAAGTTATTATTATAATTATATTAAATAAATATTATTTTAATTTCATTTATTTAAGTTACCCCCTCACCCCCCATTTTCATAAGTAGTAAATCTATTTTAAGATATTAACTTAAAAAATAATAAGTATGAAGAAATGAAAAAAAAAAAAAAAAAAAATAAAATTAAATACATTTGAACAATTTATTTCAAAAAAAAATAAAAAAATTAAAAATTTAAATTTTAAAAATGAAGAAATTTTATTTTTTTGAAATTATTAATTTGTGAATATTGAATTTTTTGCAGAAACTTTCAATTCTTTTAATAGTAACAGTGGTTAAATGATTATTTTTTATTTATATTATTATAAAAAAGTTTTCTTTTTACCCTAAAAATACATTTTATTTTTTTAATACAAAATCTTTAGGGGTAAAATTAATTATTGATGTTTTAGTTTTTTTTATAATAATAAATATTGACGATTTTATCATTGATTGATTGTGAATTGATTTTTGGTATTAAACTTTTTAAATTGAAACTTTCAACAAAAATATTTAACTCTTTGAATGGAAAAAATTCTGAATATAATTGGACATTTTCAAGAATATATGGAATATATGTTTGATCAAAAGTTTTGATTGATAATGAGTATAGGTTGATTGATGAATATTTGGAAAATAAATTTATAATATCTAGATAAAGTTCTTTATTTTCAATTACTATGTTTCTAATAGTTTTATTTTTGATTAAAACGTTTCTTATAACAGCATGGATATCAACTTCATTGAGAACTAGTGTTTTGATAGTCTTTGATCTTGCTAATGCGTCAAACAAATGAACATCATAAAAGTCAATTCCATCCAATGAAAGAGTTTCAATAGATGTGTGTTCACTTGTTAAAATTGAATCCAAACCGTAGGTGATGAAGGAGGTATCCAATTTTTTGTCATAGCAACAATAGGAATTTGAACAGAAGTTTGTTAAAACAAGTTCTTTGATTGTTGAATTATTTGACAAAGTTTTTACCATTTTAAACCAATGTTGTTCAATCTTTTCAATATTGAAGAAACTTTCGTGGTCATGGCAGTTATTTAAATCCTTTGGCTCATCATTAACGAATTTAATGATACCATGGTATAGGATTGGGATGGTCAATGTTTTGAGGTTTGTTGTAAAATTGTTGATTTTTGCAATTTCACATGGCTCGATATGGTCAGAGAACAATACTTTGATGTGCTTTAAAGAATTCGATTGAAAAAGATTTAAATAGCTACAGTGCAACGAATCTCCACCATAATATTTTGAATATGGGTCATAACTAATCTTTTTTGGTTTAAGATCGACTATTTTTCCTAATAAGCCAAATTCATTATAATCTATACCGGTAATCTTGACTTTGTTTATTGAACTGACACCATCTTTATATTCGTAGTCAAAGAATTCTGAATCTTCATCTATAAAAATAGATAAATTGAAACTGATGTTTTCTGGGTATAAATTTCTATACCTTAACACTTCTATAGAGTCATCTTGATTGTCTATGTTAATCAGTACCTTTTTGTAACTCATGGCATTAATGGCATCCATTTTATATTCTATAAGAGAATTGTACTTGGTAAACAATCTTAAATTCCTTACCAACTTGGATGGTCTATCTCCCTCTAAATCATAAAATCTATTAAAAATTTCACAATTTCTTTTTGAATAAATTATTGAAAGGTTACCCGAAACCAATTTAAACCATGACTTTGAAACCAAGCAATAGTTTATTATTTCTCTATTATTGGAAGTATATTTTTTTGATTGAAATAACCTTTTACAAATATAAGGTTTTTTATATGCATTGGAAATAAGTAATGATGTAATATAATCATAGATATATATAAATTCAATTGCCATTTTTAAATAATATAAAATATATGTATAATATTTATTATATAAAAAATATATAATATAGAAAACCAAACAATAACAAATAACAAATATAAAATCAAAAATCAAAAATAAAAATAAAAAAATAAAAAAAACTTATAAATTATTATCATTAAAAAAACACAAATACACAACCACACTTGACTTAATAAAATTTCTATGTATTAATAATTTATTATTTGAAATATATTTTTAATTTCATACTATTTTAAGAACCACTATCACACCTTCAACTGATTAACCCACACACGTACACATAAAAAATAAAAAAAAAAAGTTAATTTTTATTATTCATATTTAATTTAATTTTTCTTCATATTAAATGTTAATTTTTTTTTTCTTCTTTTGGAATTTCAAAAATTTATTTTTAGACCCATCATGTGTTTAATTTTTATCATTAATAAATTTTTAAAAAAAGAAAACTTTTTAAATAAATATTATTATAACAAATTGCAATATAAAAAAAAAAAAAAAATAAACTTAAAAAATGAAGTTATCATATAATTTGTGATAATATAAAAAACAAAATTAATATAAATACATAATAGTAATAATAGTAAATCTAATAACGACATAAATAAAAACATCATTTTATCAAATTGATAATAGTATAGAAAAATGTGTGATGTTCTGTGTGTGAGTTTGTTGGTATTTGTGTGTTTGAAAAAAAAATTGTTATAATGGAGCAATAATAGATTTAATTATAATTTAAAAAAAAAAAAAAATTCAGATATATTGGGTAGCATTAAAAATAACAAAAGCAGCTTTTAAAATTTTCAAAATCAAAAATAATAACAATTTTTTGTCTCAAAAAATAAAGATAATAATAGAATATAATAATAATTTTTGTAATTAAATTATTGTTATTATTGTTTTTATAATAAATAAAAAATTTAAAATAAATAAAGAAAAAAACAAAATCGATTCAATAGATTTGTGTTGATATTCATCCCCTTTTTTCTGCAAACAGTAGTGTTCGATATCAATTCAAATTATAATAAATAATATAATACAGCTATGCAGTTTTTACTTTCTACCCAATAAAATTCCAATCTACTTTACTTTCAATCCATTTTAATTTTTTATAGTGTGTTTGTATGTTGTATATTGTGTGTATTGTGTTTGTGTGTGTGTTTGTACATTTTTGCATTTGTGTGCTTTAAATTTTTACTTCACCCACATTACTATTTTTCTTTTCTTATAATCATTCAAATAATTAGATTATAATGGCAACAAAAATATAAATACAAATAAATTTATTAGTAATTAAAAAAAAATAAAAATAAATAGAATACAACTTAAAAAATTTAAGTTTTTTAAAAAAAAAATTTATTAAATAACCACTACCACTATTCAATAATTAGCCCCCCCAAATCACACAATAAAAAATATAATTAATATTAAAAATTAATAAAAATATTTTTTTAAAAATATTTAAACAACAAATACAAAACATAAATAAACTGTGAACGTTATTTACATAGAGAATACACCCCAATTTCTTAATACAAACTCTGTAAATAAGTAAAAACAAATTTTAATAAACTTTAATACATATTTTTTATTTACAAAACTATTTTATTGTTTTGCAAAAAAAAAAAAAAAACTAAAATATAAAAATAAAAAAAATTTTAATTTTTTTTTAAAACAATACTTTTAATTAATTTTTTTTTTAATTTTTTTTTTTATTACAACGTTATAATTGGTTTAATGAACACATTAGGTTAATGTAAAAAAGAAGCAGCATTTTGGCAATTTTCACAATGATTGATTAGGGGTATTTGTAGTTTGACTGTATCTTTCATTTATGGATAGACCCAGCAGCAGTTTTCAGCAACTTCTTTTTTATATATATTAAGGTATTTATTATTACTGCTATTATTATTTGCTTATTAGGATTATTTATTGTTTATTTTTAAATATATTTATATTAATCGAATGACATGATTTAATAGTATAGGTATTTAATAGTTTAAATGGTAGAGCCTACATTATTTAACACTATAGCCATGGCACTCTGTATCTGGATATGTGATGAATATTAGATCGATGTTGAAAACGGGTTTCGCATTGTATATCGGTTAATAGGTTAGAATCGGCTTCTCTCTTTAAAAGAGTGTTTAAAGGTAGTTTATCTGTAAGTAGTTTGTTTATGAATGTCATTTCTGATCTTACTTGCATTTTGATCAATGCAGGTAATGGATGTATATTAATATTTGATGTGTATTAATTAAATAATAAATAAAAACCAATAAAAAAAAGAATGAAAGAGCTGCCAATGCTGTAAATGCCACCAATGCTACCGATGGTGTTATTGATGCTAACGCTTTAAATACTTAAATGATGCCGATCCAAAATCCAACGTCAAAAGGGCCAGAGAAATATTAGAGTATTGCTTCGTAAAAACCCATTCCCAGACACCATCGAGAAAAATATCATCGCCTACCAATTAGAAATGACCATCAACCAAGTCGTCACATGGTATAAACATAAGAGGGAAAACTTAAGAAATCTAACAACACATCATGCAAAGATTCATTTGTCTCAAAGTTTATAGAAACACCAACGAGTTAAACTTTTTCCTCCACAATTACCCATTTCCTACTGAAGAGAACATTGTATATTTTTCATTAATCTATGGTGTTACCAAAGAAAAGATCAGAATATGATTCATGTCTAAATGATACGCAAAAGAACAACACAGGTATTCATTGGAAATGGCTCCATCAATAAATCTTCATACGATCCATACCGTCATCTTGGTAATTTCTATTATTTCTATGAGGATGAATACGATGTTAACACTGATAAGGTTCCAGAAGGTCACCACTACTGTCGCCACTGCCCCCACAAAGAAGAGAACTACCCAAACTCCAATTCAATCTGTCAATAATGCTTGTTTTAAAAATAATAATAATAATAATAAAAACAATAATAATAATAATAATCAAAATAAAAATATCAACTCATAATATAAATTTTAATTTAAATAATAATAATATTAATAATATTTTAATTTAAATAATAATAATATTAATAATTTTTTTTTTTTTTATTTAAAATTAGACTTTGTTATTTTTTGTAAAGTGGGAGTGTATTGCGTAATTATATAATTTTGGTTTTCTTTATTTATTTTTTTTAAAATTTTTTTTTTTTCAATTACTAATATATAGTATTTTTTTTTTATTTATTAGTAAAATGGCACTTAGTAATTATAAAAGAGAGGCAACAAACAGAAAAGTTGTTCAAAAAAAAAATTCTACAAATATAGAGGTTGTACAAAAAAGAAAGAAGGGTAGACCAACAAAAAAAACATCAAAACCCTGCTATAATTGTAAAACCTGGGCATCACCCGAATGGAGAAACGGTAAGGTTGATGTTAATAGTTTTACTATAGAAGTAATTTTGTGTAATGCATGCGGGATCCGTTGCGCTATAAATATATAAAATGAGGAGATTTCTAGGGAGCAGCATAGCATCGGTAAACTACTAAACTACGACGAAGAAGACCAAGATGAAGTACTAGAATATTATATAGAAGTAGATTACGAAAGAGAAGACGACGACGATGACGACAGTGAAGAAGAAGACGATGATGATGATTACGATTACGAAGACGAAGACGAATAAATAATAAAAAAACAAATAAAATTTTTTTTTAATTATGGTTTATCCTTTGTTAAAACAAACCGATTTTCTACAGTAAACTGTTTTCTTTTTCTAATTTCTATAGATTTGTTATAATGGTCGAAATTCTATATTTCTTTAATTTTTTTTTTTTATTTTTTTATTTTTTTTTATTTAAAAATGTGTGTTGATTAAACAACTTTAAAATAGTTTAAAATTTCTTCAAAAGTTGGACGGTAAATTTGGGATACACTGCAGCATTTTTGAGAGTATAGTAGATCAATCTATCCTCTATAGATCTATTTCTTTGAGAAGAACGGAGAAAGAGTACACATCAGTTTTTTCATTAAGATTTTCACGAGACTGGCTTTCATCTCGTAGCTCTGGTGCAATGTATTCATTTTTTCTTTAAAATTGGATTTGTTTATTTGAATTACTATTACAGATGATACCAAAACCCATAAACTTGATATGGCAGCTGTTTCCTATATGATATACTAAAATGTTGGAATTTGAAATATCAGCATGAGCTACACGAATGGAATGCATATGTTTTAAAGGAGTATAGCTCGAATAGGTTAGGGTTAGTATTCAAGTGATTTCATGGACAAATTCCATAATAATAAAATAGAATTAGTCTAACTTGAATCTGGGAAAATATTGTTGGGTTTGGTAGTTTAAGATTGGCGGCTTCGTGAAAAAACATGTCACCCTTCAATATACAACGTTTACATGCAACTTCTCTATCATTGTGAGTACCGATGAAAACTTGAGAACAGAAACCAGAACCGACACATTGACTAGATATATAGATTTGACTTGGCTCAATGATTTCTAATTGCTGCTCATTTTCCATTAGTTGTTCCCCAACTTCAGGAATATTAGGAGCAGTGCCGGGAAAATTTTGATCTAAAGAGTACACATAATTTTTATAATTCTGGGCATGGATATAGACGAGTTCATTCATATCCATACCTCCAAATAATTCATCTAATGGATCCATATTTGAATTGTTATCAGTTCTATACCTATATTCTTATTTTGATTTTTTATTGGGCACTAATAATAATTATTATTATTAATTTATTTATATTTTGTTTTTGTATTAAATTATTTACCTGTTTTTTTTTTTTCTTTTATATTATAGGTTTTTATTTGTTAAGGGTATATTTATATTTATGAAATAAAAAAAAAATAATTTAAAAAAATAAATAATAAAAACAATATATAAAAAAAAAAAAAATATATAAAAAAAATTAATATTTGATATATACAAATATATATACACTATAAACAAAGACTATAATTATATTTGTAAGTTTGTTGCTGTTGTGTGTTATTAATTTTAATATAAAGTGGTAAAAATTAAGTGATTTTTTATTTTTTCAAGTGAAAAAAATATTACGAAGAATGTGGTTATGTTGGAGGGGTAATTAGTTGTTTTGTTGATGTTGTCTCTTTTCAACACAATCGAATAAAAAAAATACCCCAAAAAATTAACAAAAAAAAAATAATAATATTAAAAAAAAAAAAATTTTATCTTTAAAAAACAAGTGAAAGCTATTTCAAATAGTGAGTGTGTGTTTTAAAAAAAAAATTTATCAAACACACCTACCACACATTTACATAATGAAATACACATATCCTCTTTTTTTTTTTTATCCAAATTTGATTATTTCAAAATTGCATCTTTTTTCCTTTTTAATGTTTGACAAAAATATAATATTAATAAAAAAAAAAAAAAAAATTAATTCATTATTTAATTTTATTTTACATATTAATTTAATATGGACATGTTGTATTTTTTTTGTTTATTATTTGTATAATGGGGGTGTGTTGCATTAATTTCTTATCGTATTAAACTTTAAAAATTTTTTTATATCATATTGAAATTTGTATAAAATTTATAATCAACCAAAAAAAATTATTTAATATAACAGTATATGTAATGTATTGTTTTTTATGTTCAGACCCAATATATTTACCCCCTCTACCCACAAATGTGTTTAAGTTCATATTATTTTTTATATTAAAACACAAAACAATAAAAATAAAAAACTTGATTCACACCCTCTACCACTAATTTTTATATTGTTCATTTTGTAATTTCTCTCATAAATAAAGCTAATGCACTTATACATTAATTTTTATTTTTTTATTGTTATAATTTAAAAAACTATTATATCATTATCACTAAATAAACCATTTCTATTAATATAATCATTATTTCTCTTTTTTATTAATTTTTATAAATAGTGTTCTATTTTTAACACTTTAAACCCAATCAAATTTCTAAAGAGGTAATTAAAAGAACTCTATACAAATAAATAATATTATAAAAAACAAATAAATAAAAACAAATAATAATAAATAAAATTTAAAATTTGTGCAAACTTGGTTCGCTCTTACAATATTATTTATTTTTATTTTATTTTTATTTTTTTTACTATAACTATAATCGATGAATTTATTGATTTTATTACTATAATTGTAGTTACTATTGTGTTCAGTTCTTTGAGTGGTACCAAAAAATAAAAGATGAATTTATTGATTTTATTACTATTATTGTAATTACTATTGTGTTCAGTTCTTTGAGTGGTACCAAAAAATTTTGTGCCACCATCGCTCATAGCTGTTTTTTGTTTATCATTATTACTACTACGATTATTGTCTATTTCTGTGCTTACAACAGGTCTCTGATAATTAATTTGAAATGTTTTTTGTTTATCTTTATTACTACCACTAAAATTATTATTGGTTATTGTTGCAACTACTTTTTAATTTTAACATTTTTCAGGTATTTTTATTAGATTTGAGTGGTGTTCCTCTATAGTATGATTATATTCATGTTCTTGAATGATTATTTCCAATACCTCCTCAAAACATTTTAATATTTTATATTCGTTCTTATTGCTCAAAGTTGAATGTTTCATGAAGCAGTGATTAAGTAACCTCTTTTTAATTATTTCTATAAACCATTTTATATCGTTAATTAATACTGAATATCTTTTGTAAAATCAATTTACCATGTTCTTTTATATAAGAAATAGTGTTTATATTTACCTTTAATGATTCAAAGTTTGAATTATAAAACTTTACATTTATTAAAGTAACCAATCATTTTCTTTTGGGATATATTTTTTATATGTATTTTAGTAGCATTATCTAATGTTAATTTAAATTCTTTACTGAGGTTTGTAAGGATATTATAATTATTATCATTATTTAAGATATTATTATGTTATAGAAATTATTATTATTGTGTGTCATATTTTTTTTTTTATGAAAAAAATTGAAAATTATTTTAAATTATTTTTTTTTTTTTTTTTTTAATTTTTTGAAAAGAAAAATTATTTTATATTTTTTATACTTAAATATTATTAAAATTCATAATAAAAATTTAAAAAAATTTTAATAATAAATTAAAAAGTTATTATTAAAAAAATTTTTTTATTTAATTTTCGTAATTAAAATATTATTTTAATTATTTAGATTTTTTTTTCAAATAATAAATATTTATTTATTTTATTACACATACAAACGATAGACATACTCTCATGGTTCCAAAGCTCATTAATGTTACAATTGATGAAATATTTTCAAACCCCATTTTATTTTTTTTATTTTATGGTGATTTTGTTTTTTTATTGTTATATCTTTCAATAACACTAATAATAATTTAAAATCATATAAAAAATATAAAAGTACTATAGTTCAGAATTTGATTATATAAATACATCAATGAATACACCCAGTTTGAGTTTTACATCAAATAAAGAATAGCGGTGAAGTATTTTGGAAGATATTTAGAATTAAATTTTAAATCAAAGAGTTATTCTGATGATTTATTATAGAGATTTTGATGCAGAATAAGACATTAGTAAAATCGCCAAATATACCCAAAGAGAACAAAGAAATCTATAGACAAATCACAAAACTATATTATATACTTTAAAAATATTCAGCTACTATTCATTCTGGGTTTAAATTGTGAAAATCAATTACTATGTACCATTTCGCAAATTTATTTATATATATATATGGATCACATTATGTGTGTGTGTGTGTGTGTGTGTGTGTTTCCTTAATATTGTAAATTTTGATATATTTTTTTTGTATAGAGTGGGAATGGTGTTGAGATGTTATCAACACATTTTTGTGTAACAATTTCACACAGCTATCCCCATACCCCCAAACATACAAATATACAAATATACATGTTAAAAAATAAATAAAATACAAGTTTTTAAATAACCACACAAACATTCTCACCCTTCATAATATATTTTTGTTTTTTTTCATTAAAATAAATTGTATATACTAATTCGGATTAGAATAATTACCCCATCAATAATTCAAAATTAATAATTTTTGTATTGTTCTATTTTTAAAAAAAAATAAGTTCAAAAAAAAAAAAAAAATTTATTTAAAAAAAATTAAAAAATTCTATTAAATTGAAACAGATCTAGATCCATGTGTGTTTTTTATTATATTTGAGAATAAAAAAATATAAATTGTAAATATATATGGCAACGGCAATTTATAGCATCACGTAAACTGTTATTTCAAACAATAAAAAATTATAATTATTATTAAGTCACTTAATACTGATAGAGGTCATTACAGGTAAATCATTATTAAATATTTATATTTAATATCTTTAAAAAGGAATAAATGGAGTTGGAAATGTTTTTAATAGCCTGCTCTATGCACTTAAACATTAATATTTTTTAATTACCTATCCCCCACTTCACACAATTTAATAATTAATACTATTTTCTTCCCCACCAAACACACATGTATATTGGTGATTGTTAACAATTAATATTACTATGGGGTTGAAGTGAGAAATAGAAATATTTAGATTGGTGTTTTTATTTCTTTTTTTTTTTTTTTTTTTTTTTTTTTTTTTTTAATTATTAAATTATTAAATTATGAAATTATAAATAATTGTAATTTTTAATAAAAAAAATTAAAAAAAAAATTAAAAAAAAAATTAAAAAAAAGAAATTTTGGAAATATTAAAAAAAATAAAAAAAATATTAAAAAAAAAAGGTAAAAAAAATCAATTGTTTTATTAATAAATATTAATTAAAAATAGTAAAGATGAATGTTCAATTTCCACCTGATATGGAGGAAAAATTAATAAGAGTTTTCCGTCCCTGCAATCTTATTTTTGATCAAAAAGATAATATGTATGGGTCTCCATATTATATAAATTATTATAGTAATATAAAAGTAATAATATCCACTACGAATGAACAAGAAGTATTTTCAAAATTGGTCAATTTCGCACCTCATGCTAAAAAATTTATCATCGATTCAATCACTGAAAAGCCGCCTGTCAATTGTGATTTTTTCTCGCCCCTCATCTTAACACCGAGTCTTACCTCTTTGAAATTCATCTTTTTTGATTATAACTTTCCAATTAAACCAGGAACCATCCCAAGTACTTTAAAACATCTTACACTGCCAGTAGATTATAATCAGCCGTTTCATGACACCGTTTTTAAAGACGGTTGTTATTATTACACACCAGTTTTTCCTGAAAATGGACTAACTAGCTTGCACATTCCCCACTATTTTAATCAAACAATTCTTCCAAACGTTCTTCCAAAATCTTTAAGAGAAATAAAAATTGGTACTGCTTTCAAAACTCAATTATTATTTGGTAGTTTTCCAGACTCTGTTACTATTCTTGATTTTTACTGCCCAAGTTATAATCATCAGTTTCTTCCAGGAATCCTTCCAAGAAATTTAAGAAAGCTAAAGATGTATCATAATGTTTCGTTATTACCTGGCTCTTTACCAGAAACTCTTACTTATCTCAAACTAGGCGGCCACTATAACCAACCTATTACTCCTAATCTATTACCAAAATATCTTCAAAAAATATCTTTTGGTCCAAATTTCAACAGTTTATTTGTTCCATCTGAAAATATTCATACAGTCGTTTTTGGTAAAAGCATGCTTTGTGAACCACATAACTTTACAAAAAATGTTAGATGTGTAGAAGTTAAAAACTCCCGTTATTTAGAATTACCACATACTATTAATGAACTAATCATCCATTCCAAAAATAAAAGTTATAGAAGATTTCCACATGATCTTACCTATCTATCACTATCTCGTCCTTCCGAATTTACAAATAATGAACTCAGCCCACTCACAAATCTAAGGCATCTTGATCTTTTTGGTGGTGATCTCATATTTCAAGTGGACCAAATACCAATATCTATAGTATCGCTGACCCTGGATGATTTAAACTCAAACGATCCTTTAGACCTAGGACCATTGGTAAATCTAGAATACTTTAGTTTAGGTGATACACATCACAAAATAATGAAACTTCCATCAACACTCCGTGCACTGAAATTTAATAGTGATCAAAGTGAAGTGTTTGCTAAAGAAATTTTTCCAGCGTCACTTGAAATCCTTCAATTGCCACGATACCATGTCCAACCTCTATCAAACTCATGGCTTCCATCGTCATTGAAAACCCTTATCCATCTTGGTGAACCTGTTATTGGCGAAGATTATAGACGTCCAAATCTCAGTAAATTTTATATTGGTCATTTAAATGAATCCATCTTGGTTCATAGTCCAGCTTTTGTTGCAGATAATCTTGACATTATCAAAACATATAAAACCGTATATGACATTATCATTGAAAATCTTTTAGATTACCATCTACCATTCCAAAAAAAAAAATAGAGAAAGTAAAAATTTTTATTTAAATAACTAAAATTAAAATAAATAAAAACCTTTTTAAAATTTAAAATATAATATGTGTAAATATATATGAGCATTGTATAAATGTCTAAAAGAATATGTATATATATTTTTATATATGTAAATTTATTAGTAAATATATGTGTGTATGTATGTATGTGTGCATATGTGCGTGTGTATAGGTATATGAATATGATAAAAAAAAAAGTCTAAATATTTTTTAAATTCAAAATATTGTTTATTTAATAAAAAAATTAAAATATTAAAAAGCCACATTGATCTATGTAGCTTTTCAAGTTATTTTCCATTTTTCTAATTGACACCAAGTTCTTTCTATTATAGAATTTTTTGAAAATTCTTTTTATCTATATTTTCCAAAATTTGAATTTTTAATTAATTATAATTTGAATATTCCAGTTCTCTTTTTTTAATAATGTTAATATTTTCCTTCAATTTCCAATGATAAGTTGGTAGTGATGAAAGTATTTTGTAGCCCGCAACAAAATGGTGATCTAAACTCTTTATCTGATAACTCTTCATTATTTATTATTTTGAGATTGTTGATTAGGGACCTGATTATCCAATTCCATTTCACTTGAATGAATGTCATCCTCTGCTTGTTTTTCAGGATATTCAAATGAACTATAGTCATTAAAAAAATCAATGATTATAAAAAATTTTAATAAATAAATTAGTTTAAATAAATAAAATAAAATTATTATTATTTATAATAAATCGTCTTTTTTATTATTTTATAATTTACATACTTTTTGGGATATTGTTTTCATTGATATCTTTAAATTGAAACTTTCCTAATCCATCACCAATTGTTATGCATTCTATTTTTTCTTTACCACTATGCATTTTATTTCTTGGTTGTTTCGGGAGAAAGGAAACTATGAATCAAAACAAAGATAGAGGATGACAATGATAAGTTGAATTTGTTAATTTCAGCTCTTTTAAATGCCATCTTCAGCTGTACTATCACCTTCATCTTGGTCTGATATTTCTTCCTACAAAAACTTCATCTACATCTGCACTAACTGGCGGTACTATTAGTTGAGGTATAGTATTTGTGGTACCATAGGCGGGGGGGGAAATTGATGTATATGTGACTCTTTTTTGGGTGAAGCATAACTACTTGATGATGAATTTGAATCAAAAGAATTAATTTCAGCTCTTTTAAATGCTTCGTGGTGAATTTGAATCAAATGATCAGAACCTTGTTTTTTATATAAATCTTTTTGAGGTCCATAAGACAAGACAATGTATGAACAGAAGTGCTCATACATTTCTATTGATTCTTCACAAAAGAAACAATCTTTGAATAATTATTTATTATTTATTATTTATTATTAAATATTTATTTTTGATTTGGTTTCAATAAATTTTTTATTTTATAGAAAATTTTTTAATGAAAAAAAAAAAAAAAATTTTATTAAAAATTTTATTAAAAATTTGTTTTTTTTTTTTTTTTTCGAAATCAGTTCATATCTGGTTTAACAATATTATTATAATAATATTTTAGATTTTTTAAAAAAAAATATTCAAAAATTTGTGGTTTCTTTTTTTTTCCCAAAATCAATTCGTATCTGATTTGACAATATTATAATATAAATTTACCAAAAAAATGGATTTTAATAATAAAAATAATAATAATTATTTAAAATATGAAAATTGAAATGATTAATATATGAATTGAATAACTTTAATAATAAAATTTAATTTTATTAATACTATCTAAATAATAAAAAAAAAAAAAAAAAAAAAAAAAAAAACAATTTTGGGCAATTCTTCGAGATAAAATATCCAACATTTGATTTATTTATCATAATAAAAAAATTTCAATAATAAGCAATTTTTTTTGAATTTAATTCAGTTCATTTATAAAAAAAAAAAAAAAAAATATTGCTATCGGTATGTTTATTATTGATAAATATCCACTCACCCATTAAATTGCCTATATTTATAAATAAAATTAAAAAAAAAAAAAAAAATTTCACATAATTCAGTTGATAAAAGATATTAAAAAAAATATATTTAATTAAATTTTTTTTTTTAAAATTTTTTTGCGCTGGGCAATATTTTTAATCTTCACATTTTTTATATTTTTATTTTATGGTGCGATATAACACCAAAATAAATTTTCAAATATTTGGTTCAAAGAATCTTTTTTTCAATAAAAAAAATCGGGACAGTGATAATTTTCTAAAAAAAAATTGAATCTTTATAATGGGTGAATCCCCAAATAAAACAGCTTTTTAAAATTATTATAATTTTGAATAAAATATTTTTTTTTTATATTCAAAACACCACGTTGCTATGTTCAGAATTTAAATAGATGCGATATAATGAGATGAATAATTTAAATAAAATCATTTATATAAATATCAAAATTAAAACCAATAGTAGTAAACTTCAAATTTAAAATAATTAATTTTCCTCTGTTACAGTAATTAAACTGAATATTTGTATACTTTTTTTTTTATAAAAAATATCAATAATAAAAACTCAGTAGGTTAAAATAAACATCATTTTGGAAATTTCCCAAATATTTATTTGTGGTAGTGGTAGTTGATTGGGGATATTTTTAATTTATGAGAGACCCGGCAGCAGTTTTCGACAACTTCTTTTTTATATATTAAGGTATTAATTATTACTGATATTATTTTTTGTTAATAAGTTGAAATTATTAAGTAACCATAACTTAGAAAGTGGATTATTATCCTATTATTTAACACTTTAACCATCATGATTGAACCATGGCACTCTGTATCTGGATTTGTGATGAATATTAGATTGATGTTGAAAACGGGTTTACATTGTATATAGGTTAATAGGCTAGAATTTGACTCAAATGTTTTATATTAGATTCATATATAAAAACAAAAAAGGTTGGGAAACATTGAAAACTAATAACAAAAGTAGTACATTAAAAAAAGCATTTTATAAAATAATAAAATAATAATAAAAACATATCTACACATTAAAAACAAATATAAAAAAATTTAAATAAATAAAAGATAAATAATAAAGTTAAAAAAAGTTTCAAAAATTAGAAATTTGAATAGGTAAAAATTTATTTAAGGTTAAAAAGAATTTCATATACTTCTAACTGATATTATAACCACCATCTTTTATATTAATTAAAATATTATTAAATGATGGTTTAATAATATGATGATGTATTAAGAAATGAAATTCTTAAATGAAATTGATGTTTTGTTGCTCCAATATAGTTGTTGTTTCTGTAGTAGTTGTTGTTGTGGTGTTGTAGCCGTTATTTATATTATTATTATTCAAATTATTATTATCAAAATGGTTATAAACCTTATTTACATTACTATTTGTTTGATTAATAAAATTGTTTTTTTTTATTTATTTTTTTTACATTTGGATTATTTTATAATAGTTTGTTTTTGTTTTAGTTTTAAATATTCCAAATAGTGTAATATTTTATGTTTGTATATTTTTCTACTCCAAAGGATGAAAAAATTCCACCAAACAAATGAGGAGGGGCAGTTGGTTCATTTATAATATATGAAATCTTTAATTTGTATTCTAGATTTTGGGATGGGTTTTCTAATGTGTTTTTGATTACTGGTTGGGTATCACATATTTCTTCCTTTTCTTCTTTTAAAACTTGATTACAATTTGGATTCATGTTAATTTATTATTATTATTATGAAAGTTTAAAGTTCTATTATAATTATTATTATGCAAATAATTAAATAAAAATCAAATTAAAAAAACAAATTATATTTTTTTTTATTTATTTCTGAATATCAGTTTATCTATTATAATTGAATTAATATGGAAGGGGGTATTTTCAAAGATTGAATTTTTTATGTGGGTGTATGGGGGTGTGAACAAAAAAAAAAAAAAAAAAAAAAATTTATTAAAAATAAATTTTGAGAGGTTTAATATGATTGTATTATTAAATAATTAAAATTTTTCGGGATAATAAAACAATAAACAATATTATTTATGAAATCACATACATTGAGATTTAGAAAAAATTAAACAAATTATATTAATTTTAATTTTGTAACCCAATTTCAAATAAAAAAAAAAAACCCCACTCACAAACAATAATAAATATATACAAACACTCTTTTAACCCCACATGTGCTCTCACACTCGCTGTAAAAAAAAAAAACAAATACATATTAATTTTATATCATGTAAAATTAAAAACAGTTTTAATAACAATCTAATAAGTTTGAACAACAATATTGTACAGTTGCCTCATAAAAAAAAAATAGAATATATATCATTTTTAGTTTTATTATATAAATTCATTTTTTCTTTATTATCTTTTTTTTAAAAGGATATAAATAAACTACAATATTAAAAAAACATAATTTTTATTGTTCAGTGCACAAAAATAATTTTGGTACACTACTTGTGTTAAATTGATAATTGTATTTTTTAACCAATCAAAAACTTTTAATTAATTTGTAATTTTTTTTAAAAAACATTCATATTAATTTTATTTCATAAATATAATATAAAATAAAAATAAATAATAACCAGGGATAAATTTTTCAGTAAATAATACTGATAAATTTTTCAGTAAATAATAATCAAAAACCTCACAAATATAATAACTCTATTAAATTATTTAAAAAAATAGTTTGGGTTGTTATAGCTACTATATAATAGTATTTTGATATATTTCGTAAATATTTTTTTTATAAAATACTTAGTATTATCAATCAATAATATTAGTAATAATCTCATCTAATTTATTATTATTATTGATTGTTCAAATTTAGATGAATTCGAAAAATCAAACTAAAATATTTTTTTCATTATTCCTACACTACTTTAATATTGATTTATATCTTTTTTAAAATTTTTTTTGATTTTAAAGATCTGTAATGTTGTAAATCTGTAATAAAAATTCACACAAATTTTATTTTTATATATTTATATAATTTTTATAGAACATTATTTTTTTTATTATTTTTTTATTTCGTTTTTTTTTATTTCGTTTTTTTTTTTTTAAATTTTTTTTTAAAATTATCATTATAATAATCAACAACTTTATAAAATGAATACAATCAATAAAAGAAAAACAATCAATGAATTAAATCAAAGTCGAGGAAAAATTATAACTGAAGAACTCTTTTTAGTTGATACTGATACGTATGCAAGACCTGAAAATAAACATTATGGAATATCATTAGAAGAGGTAATTAGTTTGTTTTTCAATAAAAAATTTGTAAATAGCTTTTTGGAGCTAACAAATCTCAATTTAGGTTAAGTCAACTCAGAAAAAGAAGAAATTTATAAAAGAGAAATTGAAAAAGTATAAATTCAATCCTATTTCAAAGATTACCAAAGAAGAGCTTTTTGAATATTGGTCTATTACCTTAATGTTCGATTTGGGTGTTTTTAAAACAATTATGGAAATTATAAATCATAGTAATAAAAAAATGAAAGAGACACATTCTATTTGGTTCAATCAACAACCAAATTTACAGATGATCAAATTAAAAGAATTGCAGGTGAAATGAGTGATATTAATTATTGTTTGGTAGAAAGAATTAAAGTTTGCATCCTTGATGAAACAATATACATAGATCTTAGATTCAGATTCATCAGAGAAATATATTCAAGATAATAAAAAATCTCCAATTATGTGTATACCTCGTAAACCTCATACAAATTAGGAACGTATGAAGATCTTAAATTTCATTTAGTTGGTGATAGTGCATTTTTTTCCAAGGATAATTTAAATCATATTAAATAAAGGTTGGCAACAATTTTCCTCAAGTAGCAACATTATCACATTGCTCAAAGATACATTAAAAGATGATAAAAGTTGGATTGCCATTGAACTTGATGGTTATTATAAAGTCTGTAAAATTGATGAAAGAGACCAAAAAGTTCCTACATTTAAATCAATTGCAACAACTGGTTTTAAAACTCAAAATCGTGAAGTTAATCCAAGCAAAGGTTCTAATAATAGTGATGCAGCGGATCTTTATATATTAAATTATTCAACTTTAAAGAAATTATGTTTAGGTTTAGGTGTTTCAAGATCAAGTAGTAATAGGAGAATGGTTATGTCAATTCGTGGTATAGATCCATTATCTCATTCAACCAACCCCAATTCGTACTCTATATTATCAGAAGCAATTCAAAAAGATACTTTAAAATCATATTCATTGGTTAAACTCAAAAACTTGAATTAAGATTTTAATTTACCAGCTCCTGCTCAATTAACATGTTAAGGTTACATTTTAGCTAAAATTTATTTTTTATTCATCCACAAGTCCTACTCATCGTCTTTTTTAAGCTCAATCATATATATATTCTACATTATTATATTCATAAAATTGATTAAATATATTAAATAAAGATATTACAAACAAAACATAGTCTTTTCTTATTGTATTTATTTTTTTTTTTTTTTTTTTATTTTTTTTTTTTTAATTTTTATATAGTTTTTTTTTATTATTTATATTTCATGTTCATCGTTATATAACAAATAATTATAAATAAAATCATATCTTATATATAATATAAATAATAAATGAAATATTTACATGCAACAATAGATTTGATTTCTCTAAAATTATTATTTTTTCTATTTTTTTTATTAATCAAAAATAAAACACCTGACACAAATTAACACAGCAAATAATTTTCAACAAAACAATATATAAATCATGAAACAAAAATAAAAAATAATATATTTACAAATATAAAATAAAATATATAAGAAAAAAATGAAATTTTGGATTTTGATTTTTGTGAATTCCTTCAAAAAAAAAAAAAAAACTAAAAAAAAAAAAAATTGTGAATATGGCAATTATTTGATATAGCAATTATATTTTTAAATGTTTTATGGTGTGTTGATATTTATCATCAGAACAATACTCACTTATATTGCTGTTTTTTTTATATGTATTGAATTTAAATAATCAATTTTTTATTATTATAATCATCAATTTTTTGATTTTAAAAATATCCATCTTTAAAATTCCAGAATTGCCCAAAATTGTTTTTTAATTTTTTAATTTTTTTTATCTTTTCAAAATTCATTAAAGATATTATTATGTATTGAGTGTTTTGTATTTTTTTTTTTATGAAAGAAATTAAAAAATTATTTTTAATTAATTTTTTTCGAAATTTTTTTCGAAATTTTTTTTTTAATTTCGAGATATTTTTTAAAGTAATAAAAGGTGTAATTAACTTACCCATATAAAACTTGGTGGATGTTATTTATTATTTATTAAAAAAGTGACCATTAAAAAAAAAAGTTAAAAATGATTTTTTTTTGCAAAAAAGGTTTTTTTTTGGAAAAAATTTAGAAATAAAAATTTATGCCCCCTTTTTTTTTATTTACAAAAAAAAAAAAAAAAAAATTTTCATTTCTTAATTTTTTTTTGCCTGAATATTATTTTTTTTTTTTTTTTTTTTTTTTTTCACAAGCTCACACAATAAAAACATCACACAAAAAAATTATTATAGTGCGTGTTAAGAGTGATTTTATATTTGTATATGTATCATATATTAATTTTTTTTTATGTATTTTTTTTTTATATATATTATTTTT